TAATATTGGGGATATTTATATATTACCGGGGACACCCCCATTGTTAAAGCAATAACCGGAACCTGAGCTACCTTCTCCTGGTCTCCATCATGCTGAGCTTCCTCTGTGTCTTCTTGTTCCTCGGCCATCCAGTAGATGTGAACCTGCATGCTGCGTGTCACATCTTTTGGTGTCATCTTCTCAGTTGCCGTCTCTTCTCTACTTGCCAAAAGTATCATGGTGTGTATTGCCTTTAAGGGCGCACCAAACCTGGGAGCTCTGGAGGAAATGGATGGGAACCAAACTGCCCAATTGTATCATTTGTGTCTTCTCACTGGTCCAAAGTCATAATCTGGTCACTTGGTTGTCTATTTCTCCCCCCTTCCAGGATCGAGACACTCACTCTTATCAGGGGAAGATCATCATTCAGTGTAATGAGGGTTCAGTTCATCGGCTTCTACTCTGTCCTGGGATATATGGGGCTTCCTGGCAGCTGTGAGCTTCCATTATCGCTTTTTATGGCCAGGACATTACCGGACAGTTTTAATGAGGCCAAGTTACATCACCTTCAGCATGCTGGTGTTCTGCAGTTAGTCTGGATTTGCCATGATCCCGGCCTATCTGAGCACCAGAGGGAAATACATGGTGGCTGTGGAGGTCTTTGCTATAATAGCATCAAGCTCTGGACTTCTTGGCTGTATATTCTTCCCAAAAATGTTACATAATTCTGTTCAGACCTGACCTGAATACAAAGACAGTTATCCTGATATGTATGGAGCAACACTGGGCTACCTGTAGTTATGGCATTATCTCTATTATTATTTATTTTAGTATTGTACTAGTGTTTGGCGAATTTAAATATCTTAATAACTTACCTCTTCAGGACATGGTCAGTCTAATTGAGTCTCTCTTGAAGGAGCTGATGGACCACCACTAGTATTCAGAGTACTTTGGGTTGTTGGAAACCTTGTCCCCTGCTGGGTATGTAGTGATTCCTCCCATCAGCCGTTACATCACTTACAGCAACAATGTAGTCTATTATTGAGGAGGAACCACAGTGACCAGAGAGGGGGACAAAGTATCAAAAACATTCCTAAAGCGTCAGATACCAGAGACACCCATCACTCAAGAGAGGGAAGATTTCTGTCATCACCTTCCATAAAGGTAAATATTGAACACGTTCTTCTTTAAGAAGATGATTCGTGATGTTCATTTGTCAGTGTCACATTCATTATATTTGTTCATTGTATGTAGAGTGTATCCGACTATATCAATAAATTCATAAAGCAGTAAGGTGTACAGAAGAATGAATAGTCATACAAATTTACTACGGAGCATAAATGACACGAGAAAAACAGTAATGCAAACAGCAGGTCACATTAGAATTAGTAGACTGAAAGGAAGTTTTAACAGCCAGTGTAATGGTGGAGAACAAATGTCCATTCATCTTGGGGATGTAAGAGGGAAGGAAAAAGGGAGTATAGAGAGGGAAGTTAAGTGGAGCTCCACCAAAAGGGGAAGTTCTGCTTGAAGCTTTGTCCCTCGCTCCTCATTAAGGATTTGCACCTTTGGGAGAGTGGGTACCCGACATTTGACAGGTACCCGCTCCCCACTTCCCCCTGCAATCGCCTGGGCGATCGGAAGCGGAAGTTTGTCCTACCCCCCCTCCCCGTAGTCTTCTGTGTCACGTGTACAAGTCCAGAAGGACTATGGGGCCATTCAGGAAGTGTAACCCACTTCTCACACATGCTCAGTGGGCCACCCCGGCTGTGATGACCTCATGTTGTCACAGCTGGGTGCCCACATTGAAGATGCCCGGCGCCAGGGGAGAGAAGACAGCCGGTGAAATCAGCGGTGGTGGTGAGGACACTGCTGGACCGATAGGACAGGTAAGTGGCGTTATTTTAAAGTTTTTGTAGCTGCTGACTTTTATTTTTTTTCAGGTTAAACTCCGCTTTGCGGTTAAGGCAGGGTAGAAGGAGGAGAAAATGGTTGGAGAGGTGTTAGGGGTAATCAAACACGGGAGTGGACTAACAATACAAGGAATATAGTTCCAGTCAGCAATACAAGGCAATGTAAGTACATGTCATCAATCTTATATAAGTACAATCTGCGTTATTTAGCCATATGGACAAAATTAGAATGAATTTTTTGTGCCAATAAATTTTTCTTTAAAATTCTGGTATTTTTTCCATTTTGCATTGGTATGGTTTAAATCTACTAAGAGTGTTGACCACACTGGGCTGTGAAAGGATTCCCTATATTCTAACAATGGTGCGCTTCAGCTGCACAATGTAGGTAAGAGAACCACAAAATTATCATTAATGGGTATTTGTAAATTACCTAAATTCAGTAATGTAAGGACAGTGTCAGGTAAGATCTAAGTGCCCTATAATATTAGAGGCTAGGAAGTAGATTAGCATTCCAGTAAGGGTGCATAAAATATGGGGAAAAATTCCTGTTTCTCCACATAGTCACCAGCACCTAGGGGACATGTCAGGTATTATTTAGGTAACATGAAGGGGGTAGAATACCAATGATGGAGTGTTTTTTGGTCAAGTTCTCGGAGACTTGAAACAGTAGAGATTATATATATGTGAGAGTGCGGCTTTCCAGCTCGCCTTGGTGAGGACTTTATCTATGTTCCCCTCTAGCCATATTGCTTGGAAGTACGCTCATCAATGGTGGGTGATGTAGTAATACTTTTTTACCCAAGCTGGGACTGGAAACATCCTAGGCAAACGTACATATTCATACAAAATGAAAGAAAAATGCCACGATATAGGTGGATCACCCTATAGAATTACTCTCTGACTCGTCAGTCAATATAGATGTGGGTTAATACCGAAAAATTAGAGCATACAAAAAATAGGACATCCCTGAAAGAAGGATCTGTAAAGTAACGGTTTTAAAATGAACCCGAGTAGTTAAGGGTACAAAAATTACATTTATTATAAATCTTGCATAAAAAATATGAAACCTGGCAAGGTGAAAAATAACACATCACAATATAAAACCCCTGAGCAATCCCGGATTGCAAAGGCCTAATGTCTCAAGTTAGCCTGCAGTTTCTTGTTTGCGTGTTCTGACCTCTTGCTGCAGTGCTGTTCCTGATCCTTTCACATGTGTGGACTGTCTTGGTGCTCCACTTATGGGCATCGTATGCTGTTCTCTGGGTTTTTATTTCCTTCACTTCCATCACTTCCTGTCCCGCCTCCTTGTTTGCCTGCCTATATAAGACATGCTCGTCCTAGGCACTTTGCTGAGCAACTTCCTAGTTGTTGGAGCTCCTGTGTGTTGCTACTGCCTCAGGGGCGGACTGACAACTATTGGGGCCCCCAGGCAAATAGGGAATGATGGGGCCCTGTGTCCTTGCCACACATCAAAGCACACCCAAAAATAGCCTAATAAAAGGTTCCCATGGGCATTTCATTGGGCCCCCTACTGACCCCGGGCCCTCAGGCAGTGCACGAGTGCTCGAATGGTCAGTCCACCCCTGTACTGCCTATATCATGCATTAACTACTTGTATACCGACCCCGGCTTCGTTCCCTGACTGTGCTTGTTTTCTGCCCGTCCTGACCTCGGCTAGTCTATCAGATTCTCCCATTTGTCTCCTCCCATTGTACTCTGCTTCCCCCAAGCGGTACTCATCACATCTCAGCTGGGAGTACTTGGGGCACAACCTGGTCCCAGCTTGCTGCAAGTCCATCCCCACCATCAGGGGCTCTGGTGAAGAAGATCAGGGCTGGGTTTAGACTCCATGCCCTGGGGAACCCAAGTTGAGCATCTACAAGGGCTCACTACCACAGGAGCTGACAACTAAGGCTAATAAATATACCATACATCATAGATAAGCTCCATGAAATAAACACAATCCATTATTCACAGAAGTGGTAAATACCACCTTACTTGGTAAATGAATTGCAATATTTCATCATCAATTGCAAAAAATTATGTTAGATGGCATATGAGCTGAGCATACAGGATGATAAGTGTTCCAATCACCCATGAGGATTGAAATGGGATCATGTAAACCCCAGAGGAACAAAAATAATCATTCACAGGCCCATGAGCAAATATATACATATAACAACATGCCAATAATGATGATGGAATACGGCAGTTAGCAATCAATAAGGACAACAGATATTAGGCCATGTAAGGCTCCATGTACACGGGGACCACTTCTGAACGATGGAAAACAGACTGCTGGAAAAAGTCGTAGGTTAAAAAAAAGTCTGTTTAGCTACGTGTTTATGCACGTGTATATGTGTGTAACGGAACCGACCCCAGACTGCACTTGGGTACTTCCGTTAGACTCCCCCTCCGAACACCGACAACAGACAACCACAGCCGACCATACAAGACTAGACAACACCAGTCTTGAAGTAAACCAGGAAGTAGCCTAGTTTATTTGAACACAGATACAATATATACACTCAGGGGACAATCCCCCCTCCCTGCATAATGACACAGGGCGGGGGCAAATCTAACATTTATTAACAAGTGACACACCCCAGCAGACAATCCCATCAGGAAGCAGGGCTGGCTGCAGAGACACCCCCCCACCAAGCCGAATACCCATAAACACATACATCTCCATAATAGTTTGCTCTCCCAAGCAAGGGACACACAATAGAAATAATGGGATGCAACCACATGGCAATTTAAACAATCAACATCCCCCTCACCCCAATATTAGGACAGATCACCCTGTACCCCTAACAGGCACAGGATGACTTAGATATAAGAGGGATTTGGGGGAGCTGAGACAGGGGTATCCTCATCTTTCCAAAGTGAGTTGAATTCCATGGGCCCTCCACCCAAGGTGACTCCCGTCACATAGTGCATTTGCGTTTACAAGCGTTTTTTAAAGATAAGCACAGGAGAAACCTCCCAAATGGCCCGGATTGCACTGAAAAAATGAAAAAAGTGGTAAATTATTAACTATTTCAGACTGTTTCAGAGAAATACAGAGAGTAGTCGAAGCAGAGACAGCAGTATGTGTTGAGATTTAGCTTAGGTGTGAGTTGCTCATTAACAATTTCTTTTTTTGTTCCAAGGGTGGGAAAGGTGGGCTGGTGGAGGAAGTCATTAAGGCCACCTGGCAGGAAATTTGAGGTGTGAATGGTCATTACAATGTGTGGCAAGATTGGTGGGAACATCCTGTGTTCAGTGTTTTGTCCATCTGAGTACCTTGAAAACGCTTTGCATTCATTTTTCATGATGAAAAAAGGCTCTGGACAGCATTGGGAACTGGAAGATTCAATTTGCAGCGTTTACAAGCGTTCACAAGCATTTTTTCATTTGAAACGTCTGATAAAATCGACTGCTAAACGCAAGTTTCTGCGTTCGTAAAAACGACTGTAAACTCAAACTGCCTGTAAACGAAAGATGTGTACATGGGACACATAGGAGAACATTAGGGGGAGTTCAGGAGCTGCTGAAAAAACAACGCTGAACAGCTCCTAAACGTGAGTTTATCACCCGCAGTGTACATGAGCCCTAATTACTGAGCACATTACTGGGGTATCTACCAAGGTAGCCTCATCACATTAAGTGACTGAATTAACCTGACAAGAAGTCATCTGTGTCATATGGTGAACCTGATATGGAATAAAGTTGTAACATTTGTTGAGATAGTACAATCATCCCAGAACGGGAGAATTGTTAGATGGACAAGTACTAAGTCCACAAAAACACAATTCAAACCGTCCAGCACATGTGAAGATCAGTAATAGAGATCAGCTGAAATTAATGGCGCTGAAAGGTCAAATGTTGCGGGTATTAACCCCGTGGATTTCCACTGATTTGCAGACCTTAGTCGGTATATGCTTCAAATGGCAACGGGGGTATAGAAGTGCCAGCCATGCTTGTATAAAATGTGAAATACGGCATAGAATCATACATTGAAAGTCAAATGTTGCAGAGAGTAAAACCCCGGGAACTACCCGGAAGTACAACAATGGTAGGGTGATGTAGCAATCTACAGCTGGGACTGGAATTCATCCTAGACAAACGTTCACATTCACCTAGCACACCATTCACACTTCTTTTGGGATGTAATCTTTTTGCAATAAAAACCTTTTTTGGACCATATTGGAGATCCATGGGGTGGTGATGGGCGTCTATGTACGTTGCCCTTGGTGAAGAGCCGCCCATTTTTTGGTTTTCCCATTTGTGCCTAGTATTGTATTATTTAGATTAGATCGCTATTTTCTTTTTTTGTGGTGCTTCTGATCATTGAACAATGGACTAATACAAAGGAAGGAGGTTCTACGTATTAATGGTGAGGGGTTTTTGTTTTTATGAAACCGTTTTTAATCGAGATCCCAGCAAAAGGAATCCAATATTTTATTACAAAGTACAGTAATGTGAGCGTGTTTACATAGTAGGGATTACATATAGAAAAACTGTTAGAAAGCTTGTACAGGGATAACACAGCAAAGGCCTCTCAGAATCTCAGCAGCATTCAGTATCCCAATACACTGGCTCTTGTGGTATACTACCGCTTCTGATATGGACCGATCTGGGTAAGAAGGCCATCTATATGGGACTTGAACAGAGAAGAGAGGGCGTTCAAGGTATCAAATAGCCAAAACAGAAACCTGAACGGTGAGGAGAACAAAGAAGAACACGTATAGGACCAACAGGTAAGAGAAGAAAGGGAGAAGAGGGAGAAAAAAAAGGGGGGATGTGTCAAATGAGAGGGGGGGGAGGGAATGGGTCAGGTCCCTGGTCTCTTCCCTCCTACCCTCCTAAAATGGTGGGGGGAGAGAAAGTTGGTTGTTTCCCTCCTGAAGACGGGGGAGCTAAGAGTCATCCCAGCGTGCAAGAAATGGGCCATGTCTAGTGTGGTATTTTATAGGTACGTTTTGTATTGTGGTGTGGTTTAAAGTGGATCCAGCCTGGCCATGTGGTGACAAATTTGGAACTCAATATGAATGACTTATTATTTTCTCTTCTCTTCATTGAAAAGTAGATTCGCCTCCATCTGGGTCGGTGTAATGAACATTTCTCACATAATTTGTGCAGCTTTACATGGAAGACAGAAATACTCACATTACTATATACAGGTATAAAGGTTGTGAAATTAAAGTCTGATACAAAATACAAAGTGGTTAGATCCAAGTTATTATTATTATTATTATTATTATTACAGGATTTATGGTGCCAACAGTTTGCTCAAGCACTTTTTACAATATAAGGGAGACAATACAGCAACAATACAAATCAATTACAAGAGAGATAGGAGGGCCTGATCCTGGGAGCTTACAATCTAGGAGGGAGGGGCTAGTGGTACAAAGGTATTAACTGTGGGGGATGGACTGGTTGGAAGAGTAGAAGATTCCATTATTAGTGGAGGGCAGGATAGGCTTCCCTGAAGAGATCGGTTTTCAGAGATCGCCTAAAAGTGAGCAGAGTAGGCGATAGTGTTGATATAAATTGGGGTAGAGAGTTCCAGAGGATGGGGGGAGGCTCCTGGAGACAAGCATTTGGGAGGAGGAGACAAGAGAGCTAGAGAGCAGGAGGTCATGCGAGGAGCAGAGAGTAAGGTTTGGGTGATATTTGGAGAGACATGAATTTCTTCAATGTTGGTCAATCTGGTCAAGCATTCCCTGACCGTCAGAACGCGTGTGTAACGCCAGTGCACTGGCATGCAGAGTCTGTCAGCGGTAACCATAAATATAGCTAAGGATTTATGGTGGGATTCCTCACATAAGGAAGTGTAATATAAAAGGTATTGGGCTGGTTTTATAGTCCAAGGTAGTGCAGACACTTCTGCGGTAACTCTAGTGGGAGAAAAAATGAGAGATGTGTAAGTAGAAGTTCTGGGTTGTTAGAAAATTAAATTTGGTGTATAATGTTTTGAACATTTGAAATGCTTAATTAGAGAATAGTTGGATTATTAACTACTTGCCGTCCAGCCACTGTATTTAAAATGGCCACTCGGGACGGCACCATGCGCAAAGTCACGTTTTAAAACGTCATTTTGCAAAACAGGTAGGGGGCACACGTGAGGCCCCCGCGCACCGCCCTACCCGCACCACCGATTGTGGCCGCGGCTGTCACCGGGTCCCCGGCCCTCCGGTCATTACCCGTCAGATCCTGGCGATTACCGGAAAATTACTGACGGGAGCTCAGCTGCAGTGTTTACACTGCAAGCTCTGCTCCCTGTCAGTTCCCACACACGTGTTCCTGAGAGAGGGAGTTTAGCTCTCGGATCATTGTGTTTCCTATGAAGCACACACCCCGCCGCTACTAGTAAAACACTCCCTTCACACAGTTAACCCTTTCATTGAATTTATAAAAAAAAAAAAAAAAAAATTGTTAAACCCCTTCCTCCCCAGTGCCATTGGTACAGTGTCAGTGTTTTTTTTTTTCACTGATCACTGTATTGGTGTCACTGGGGATGTCAGTGACCCCAAGTTCACTTCCCCCCCAGTGTCAAAATGTCCGCCGCAGTCCTGCCATAAGTCGCTGATCACTGTCATAAATCTCTGATCACCGCCATAAGTCGCTGATCACCACGCCATTATTATTATAAAGAAAAACAAATTCCAGTATCTTTCCCGCCATTTGTAGACGCTATAACTTTCACGTAAACCAATTAATTTACACATATTTGGGATTTTTTTTTTCAAAAGCATAAAGAACGGATAGCAGAATACATTTTGGTTGAAATTTATGACAAAAATTTGATTTTTAAATTTTTTTACTGGACATTTTTATAGCAAAAAAGAGTCCAAAAATATATAGTTTTTTTTTCTCAAAATTGTCAGACTTTTTTTATATAGCGCAAAAATTAAAAACCGCACAGACGAAATAATACCACCAAAAGAAAGCTCAATTTTGTGGGGAAAAAAGGATGTAAATTTATTTTGGGTGCAGTGTTGCATGGACCGTGCAATTGTCAGTTAAAAGTAATGCAGCGACATAACACAAACCGCTTCTGTAAACCGCTTCTGACCGCCCTATAGCAGAAATACTGCTACAGGGTGGCATGGGGTGCGCAAAATCACACCACATATATATATACAGTCATGGCCGAAATTGTTGGCACCTGATATTTTTCCTGAAAATCATGTATTTCTCACGAAACGTATTGCATTAACATCATGTTTTGCTATACACATGTTTATTCCCTTTGTGTGTATGGGACAAAACAAAAAAAAGGGAGGAAAGAAAGCAAATTCGACATAATGTCACACAAACCCTCCAAAAATGGGCTGGACAAAAGTATTGGCACCCTTTCACAACTGCGGATAAATAAGAATGTTACAAGCATGTGATGCTCCTGTAAAACTCACCTGGGGCAAGTAACAGGTGTGGGCAATATAGAAATCACACCTGAAAGCAGATAAAAAGGAGAGACGTTCACTTAACCTTTGCATTGTGTGTCTGTCTGTGCCACACTAAGCAATGGACAACAGAAAGAGGAGACGAGAACTGTCTGAGGACCTGAGAACCAAAATTGTGGCAAAATATCAACAATCTCAAGGTTACAAGTCCATCTCCAGAGAACTAGATTTGCCTTTGTCCACCAGTTGCGCAATCATTATCAAGAAGTTTGCAACCCATGGCACTGTAGCTAATCTCCCTGGTCGTGGACGGATGAGGCAAAATTGATGAAAGATTGCAACGCAGAATAGTCCGGATGGTGGATAAAGCAGCCCCAAACATGTTCCAAAGACATTCAAGCTGTCCTGCAGGCTCAGGGAGCATCAGTGTCAGCTTAGCGAACTATCCGTCGACATTTAAATGAAATGAAACGCTATGGCAGGAGACCCAGGAGACCCCACCCCACTGCTGACACAGAGGACATAAAAAAGCAAGACTACAGTTGCCAAAATGTACTTGAGTAAGCCAAAAGCCTTCTGGGAAAACGTCTTGTGGACAGATGAGACCAAGATAGAGCTTTTCGGTAAAGCACATCATTCTACTGTTTACCGAAAACGGAATGAGGCCTACAAGAACAAAACACGTACCTACGGTAAAATATGGTGGAGGTTCAATGATGTTTTGGGTGTTGTTTTGCTGCCTCTGGCACTGGGTGCCTTGACTGTGTGCAAAGGCATCATGAAATCTGAGGATTACCAAAGGATTTTGGGTCGCACTGTAGGGCCCAGTGGTCAGAAAAGCTGGGTTTGCGTCAAGATCCTGGGTCTTCCAGCAGGACAATGACCCCAACATACGTCAAAAAAGCACTCAGAAATGGATGGCAAAGAAGCGCTGGAGAGTTCTGAAGTGGCCAGCAATGAGCCCAGATCTAAATCCCATTGAACACCTGTGGAGAGATCTTAAAATTGCTGTTGGGAAATAGGTGTCCTTCCAATAAGAGAGACCTGGAG